CTTGGGTTCACATCCAAGCTCTGCCCCTTACTCTTGCCTATGTGACCATGAACCAGTGCTCTGACCTCTCTCTGCCTCCATTTCTCTATCTGTAAAGCAAGAATCCTACTGGCCAGCCTCACAGGCAGGTTGTGAGGAGCTGGGCACAGCTGAGTTAAGGGGTCTCAGTGACATCACTGTCACTCCCACCACCTGCCTGGCCTCCACTGATGTCTGTGGGTCCGGGATTCCTTTGACAGTCAGGGCAGAGCTATTCATTTTGATGCCCACAGTTTTAGGGATCAGGATTCTTCATAATTGGGCTGTGCCCAGGGAAGTATGCTCACATGAGAACATTGCTGGTCATGGTGACCTGAGGATTTCACACAGCTTGCCTGGGACTTCCTGGGGTGAGAAGGATGGGGAGGACAAAAAGAGACCACTGTCCCCTTCCCCATGGCAGTGAGCCTGAGTTGTGCCAGGGCCTGCTCTGTCCCCAGAAAGGAGACAGAACCTCACCAGAGGGTTCCACACAGAGCCCTGGGCATAACATCCTGCCATCCCCTCCTGGCAGAGGGGACAAATGTCATGATGACCAAGGGAAATAAACAACATTTGGACACCTGTCTGCTTGCCCAAACTGCTACATGTGTGAGGCAGTGGCCACCATTGAGGGCTGACACAGAGTAGCCCTGCACATTCCTACCCGGGGACAGATTGCACCATCTCCAGCACAGGGTGGTCCTGGGGGTGGCTACTGGCTTGTTGGCTCCTGAGGCTGCAGAGCCAGAGGTGTTCAGCACACTGGCCTCTCCTCAGCACCGGGGTGGAGACCTAAGAGACGACATGTCCAGCAAGGAATGATCTCAAGGCCACACCTTAACCTTCTAAAACATGTGCCTAAGGATGGAATCAAAGTCCCTGAGTCCTCACCTTCCTCAAACCATGCTCTAAAAACAGTTACCTCCTGAAGCTAAAACCAAGGGGATGCCTCTCCTGCACTTACGGGGAGGGGGCTCAGCTCCCTTTGTTCCCCTCCATCCCCTTCCCTCTGCCTCCCTGCCCCAGACCAGCTGCAGTGATGTAGGGTAGGAAGGGGAGAGGTCCTGGGCCGGCGATGAGAAAAGAACCTTCACAAGCAATGTTCAGGTTCCCTCTGAGAAGTCTCAGGGTCTGATTTATTTTTATATCTTTAAGCAATAGCTAAGAGGCATTGGGTGGAACATGTTTACATTTTTGGTTACCTTAGCAATATCTAGTGAGGTAAAGGTTATTTTTGTTAAACAGTATATTTTTTCTAAGCTGATTCATTTCATTGAACATCATGAATACATTTCTTAAAAATTACAATTGTCCCCTTATTTTCCCATACCTAAGCAGAATAGAATGTAACTTAATCAAAATCTCCAGAGGTAACTTAATCAAAATCCCTATATCTGCGGGGGTACAAGCAAGATTTAATTAATTAAATGTCAAACTTGTGGTCACCAGCTAGCCCTTGAGAAACTGCACAATGGTTAATACAGTTTGCTATTAGCTCTCTATTTTTCTATACCTCTATTCATCTTACCTAAGTGTCATTTGGGTTCATAGTCCATGAGCAGGAGATATTTACAGCACTTTGAGAAATATTGAGTAACTTGCCCCCTTAATGTGTTTTCCTGTCTTGACTTTTTTTCTATTTCCCATTTCCCACTATTTCTTACATCTAAAGTCTGTCCTTCCAATCTCTTCATAGGACCCCTTTAGTAAAAAGAATGTCAGCAATAAGAGAGGGAGTTATAGTAGTGGGAAAACAGAGGGGGTTTTAGGAGAGGTTTCTTTAGAAGTAGATGAGGTAATAGAACTAAGAGAAACTGGAATTTGGGACTTTTGAGCCAGATCAGATTTCAATACATCATTGCCAATTTGCCTCATGGAGAGTGTGTTGTTAGTCAAAAACACAGTGACTCCTGTGACCAGAGTAACAATTATAAACATTATGGCATGAAAAAAATAAAATATGAGGGCACGATGTGTTCCACCCTTTCTTTCCCCCAGCTGGAACTTTGTCAAGCAGCACTGGAGGTCGGTTGGGCTTCGTCACCTCCCTATGTGAGCCCTGGTCTGAAGCTCAGTTATGGAAGGTTGACCAGCAGGGGCGGGGACAGGACAGGCAATTCTCCAGCTCTCTCACCAGGGCGGTCCAGAGTCCGGACAGGACCTGGAGGACAGGGCAAGGGACACATCATCCTCTAAATGACAAAACTTGTTCTCTGCCTCATGTCTGCTGGGGATAAGAAGGAAATCAGTGAGCCTCTCTGAAGGGGTGGGGCAGTCCTGGGGCAGCCTGCACTGCCACCTGTTGGCCAATCGCCTGTCCCAACCCAGTGAGTACTGAAGGGGGCTAAGGGACACTGAAGGGAATTAAGCTGCAGATTTTCACCGCAAAGGGTCAAGAGTCTGAGGGCACCCCAAGCCTGGAGGGCACAGATGAGGCACAGGAGCATGTGGACCCCAGCCCCTTTTCTTCTGTCCCAGTGATGGGCCTGAGTTTGCCAATGAGGGGAGTTTTGGGAGGTCATAGCAGCACCAGGGAAGTGAGTGACAGCTGCCTTTGTCCCCATCCCTTTGCCCCACACTAGGGATGCTACCTGGGTAAGTGTCACGCAGGGGCCGGCCTGTCAAAGGCTTGGTCCCCACTGGGAGGTGGAACCCTGAGGAGGTGGGGCCTAGAGGAGGTGCCTGGGTCACTGGGCTGCACCCTGAAGGACACTGAGAGCCTGATCCTCTTCTCCTCCTTTTGCTTCCGGACCATGAGGTGAGGAGTTTTGCTCGGCCAAGGGCTCCCTGCCATTGCTATCCAGCACCCCACCTCAGGGACACAGAGCACCGGGGCCATGCAATTAGGACTGTAACCTATAGAAGTGTGAGCCAAGCACGACTTTTCTCTTATAAGTTTATTATCTCAGGTAATTTTGAGAAAACTGAGGCTCAGAGAAGTGGCGGTGTTGGCCCAAGCCTGCACAGTAAGGAGCCACATGGGATACAAACCAGTGTCTCAGCTCCTACTGCTGGGCCGAGCCTGCCTGGTGCTCTGTGGCCTCTCCCTGCTGACTCCTGTCTGGTGACCATCAAAAGCTCACAGCTGCCATTTAGAGCCATACCTGGCTCAGGGCCCAAGGACCCCTAGGGATGGACCCCAAATGGTCTGCAAGGGCAGATGGGACAGGAGGTCACAGCAGCCATGTGAAGCAGGAGGGCGAGAGGAGGCAACTGGGGCTGCACCTGGGGCAGCAGTCCCCAGACCTTCCACACGCTCTGCTCTGGACACAAATGTCCTCAGTGTGTGTTTTGCTATGGGGTTGTGGGTGCAGGAGAATGAGATGATCCACAGCTGCAGTGACTCAGCCAGGCAGCCTCTGCTGAGGGGAGCAGGGAACCTGAGCCCTGGCTGGGGATGCCCAAGACCCTTGGGAGGACTTTGCTCAAGCCAGGGTCACGTGTCTTGGCAGGGAGCCCCCAGGTGCCAGCTGTTCTAAAACTCACTGCCCTGGAGCCTCCACCTCCAACAGAGTCTGGGGCCACAAGACAGGCTCTGATGCACAGTGTTGGTCAGCAAAGTGTGCTGACAGTAGGAAGGAGGCGGACAGATGTGTCACCTATGTTTGCAACTTCAAGTATTGTCTCTAGGAAGGCCCGGGAAAGACTCCCTCACAGGTAGGGGAGCCCTTGCCAACCAGGGCTCTTATAAGGAATTTGTGTGTGTGGACTGGGGATTGAACGGAGGACCTTTGCACTGAAATGCATCCCCAGCATTTTAAAACAATTTTTTTTACCTTGAGACTGGATCTCACTAACTTGCTAAGTTGCCCAGACTGGGCTGGCAGTTTCAATCCTCCTGCCTCAGCCTCCCAGAGTGGTAGGATTATAGGTGTGTGCACCACTACATCCAGATTTTGTAAGGACTTTCAATAGGATCGATCCTAGACCATAAGTAAGAATGATCCTCTCCCCGCAAGGAAATCCAGTGGGCTTGAGTTCATCAACAGTGAGTTCATCATGTGTGATGATTACTACTCTCCAAAAGACACATAAAACTTATGGATGGCATCAGCCTGAAGAAAGATATTTTCAATGCCACAACCACTGGATTGGCAAGGAAAACCTGTAAGTTGACAACATTCAGGTAATCCAACAAAAAGTGAGCAAAATAAAAATAAAGGTAAATTTTTAAAAA